TTTTTTTTTTTTTTTTTTTTTTTTTTGTTTGGGAACTGCACCCAAATCACTGAATCGCGTGGTGCAAAAGAGGGACATCCAAACTGGCAGGGACATAAACAGAGGGCCAATTACCATGGCCCTGTACTAGTAGGGCCAATCACCATGGCCCTGCATTAGGGGGCCTATATAAGTATGCACACATCCGGTGCCAGTTTCGACCAGCGGCCACTGACTTTACAATTCACATAAGAAATCGACCATTCGGGAGCGGAGGGAAAACGCTAAAAAGAACTCACCTGTGCAACAGCAAACGCGAGTACAATACTATCTTCACTCACGCGCAGCCTGCAACAGACCAGGGAATGACCTCAAAAAAAAAAAAAAAAAAAAAAAAAGGAAGCAACCGTCAACTTGCCAAAGGCATGAATGTTTGATGATCGTACCACAAAGCTTCTCACAACTGCCACACATGCTTTCTTTTTTTTTTTTYTTYTTTTTTTTTTTAACCACATTCTCTCCGGGGTTCCATTTCCATTCATCTCCCCCATTCTGCATCAAACAGGTTACAAGTGATCGACCCACAGCAACAATTAGATGGGTTCTGAATAAACGATAGATACCTAAGGACCTGAATATGTTATGGGGTCTGTTAACCGGAGGAGTTGAACCGAGGGGGCGCTTAATGGCCGTAACAGCATCTGAGTGGCCCCCACACTCTGAACAAGAACAGGGAATAAGGGAGGACAGCAATCCGACAGAACTGGGGACGGAAGTAGGTAATTTTTCTTTTGTGCCCCTTAAACCACCAGTGTATATCCGAGGCCAGCGCGGCAGTTTTGTTTTCGATTTGGCTTCAACCTGCACGCCAAGCTTTGCCCCTTAAACCACCAGTACATGCGAGGCCGGCGGCTTCAATCTGCACGCCAAGCTTTGCAAAACGCCAGCACGGCATTTTTGTTTTCGATTAGGGTGGCGCTGCCAGCCATTTTGGTCCGGTTGCCCGAGCAAGCCTCTCACCTTTTTCGGAGGCGCTCTCCTGTTTTCTCAAGTTGCTGCCTGGGGCCATGTACTGGACGTTGAAGAAGTGCAGTTGCAGTTTTGGCATTGCTCTTTCGAGCATCCGTTAAATTTGGAACGATACAGAGAATATTAGCATCGCCCCTGCGCAAGGACGACACACGCATGAATCGAGAAAGGGTTTTAATTAACCAAAAAAGAAAAACGAAAAAAAAAAAACAAAAAAAAAAACAGCGTTCTCCAGGTGGCTTACTCCTCTGGGCCACACAGAACAGGTAGGTGACAGAAAATCACAAACCAGGGAGGAGCGCCAAAAAAAAAAAAAAGGATTTAGAATTCCCCATATGAGTGAGTCCTTCAGGAGGACACCCATTAAAATTGGAGTGATACAGAGAAGATTGGCATGGCCCCTGCGCCCACGTCATCCGTTTGATTCCCTACGCCCCCCTGCAACGCGGTTTAGGTTCACCAGCTGAGATAGTTGGCTTGCCCCACCTACCTGAGAAGACCAGGATTTTATGCATATCCGCCCATCCATCGCGCTGAGGGGTAGGAGCATAGGTACTACGCCCGGCATAGAGTAGAGTAGAAGGGGAGACTGGACAAACAAGAAGGCTAGTATGGAAGCTTGTGGAACCAACCCTTGCTAGGTAATGCGAGGTACTGAGAGAAGAGCAAACCTTAGTAACAACAACAACAACAACAACGAGAGAGCACAGTTACACTATCAATTCCATTCCAGCTGTGTTTCACACAGTATTGGAGAGGAGATGGCTCCAGCCTTCCAATCCCCTTTTTTTTGGGTAGTTTCATAATTCAGGAGGTTGTATTAACATTTCGAATTTTCCACCCTCAAGTATCCCTCACTAGTCCAGTTGTCCACACACACACTCTGTACATGAAAGTCAAGTTACCGAGATCAAAATTTCATTGAATCCTCATCGAGAGCGGGTTCAACCGTTCAACCGATTGGTTGGCTGTGAACATAGATTCTGCAGCTCTCTGCAGAGTCTGTGTCATTCTGCAGCTCTCTGCAGGGTGTGTGTCATTCTGCAGCTCTCTCCAGTGTCTATGTGATTCTGCGCCTTTGCCTTTGATGCCTCACAAGGTATCAAGCCCGGTCACAATCTGCACGTCTGCAGCTCTTGGCTGTAAACGAATGACGACCTGCCAGCTGACACCTCATGTCTGCAGTTCGTGGCCGTAAGACGATCGCCTGCCGCCTTTCACACATCATCTTTACCAGTCACCACCCTCACCGCTATATGTGGTCGACACATGGCGATTTCCAAGCCGGCACCTGATGACTGCTTAGACCTCAGGTCTGCACTCTTTCTTGGCTGTAAAAGGAACCACCTGCTGGCTTTCCATACCGTCTCCACTGCTCTGCATCATTACCACTACTATGTAATAATATTTGCCTTGACATGCTCACGCACGACAATTTGCCAACCGGCATCTGATGGCCGCTGACGCCTCATGTCCGCAGCTCTTGGCAGTAAGAGAATCATCGGACGGGTTTCCCCACCATCTTCACAATTCACCACCCTTACGACCACCATATCCTGACATGTGGCAGCTCGCCAACTGGCGTCGAATGCCTGCTGGCGAGACATCCATCACGTCTGCAGCTCCTGGGTGTAAAAGAATCATCTGCTGGCTTCCCAAAGCCTCTCCCCTGTTCTCCATCCCCACCACTCACCATACGCTGAACACGTGGCAATTCGTCAGCTGGCATTCGATGCTTGCTGAGACCTCATGTCTGCAGCTCTTGGCTGGGTCGGAATCGCCCACCAGCTTTTCACAGCCACTCCACAATCCACCACCCTCACCACTAAATGCTGACACGCGGCAATTCGTCAGCTGACATATGAGGCCTGCTGACACCTCATGTCTGCAGCTTTTATCTATGACAGAATCACGCACTCGCTTTCTACAGCCACGCCACTGCCCATCACCCTTACCACGAAAGGCTGACACGCAACAGTTCGTCAGCTGGCATATGAGGCCTGCTGACACCTCATATCTGCAGCTCTTGTCTGTAACAGAATCACGCGCTCGCTTTCTACAGCATCTGCGCTGTTCACCACCCTGTACGCTGACTTGGCAATGCGCAAGCTAACTTTCAACATGCCGCGCCATCGACATCGAACGACTGCATTCTGACATGTACTAGACAGAGTCTGCTCAGCACAGAGGCAACCAGTGCTTTGCCCCTGATGAAATCTTCGCATCTCCCCCTTGTTTACCACCGCAACGACATGACATGTCTTCCGTGTTGAGAATCATTCTGCAACGCTCATCCCAGATTGCCTGAGGGAGGACTCTTCGGAGCCTTTGAACACAATCGTTCGCGCGAGATCCAGGGCAAAAAACAAACACAAGGATATCGAACGTCACACATCATCTTCAGCTCCTATGGTACGTAGAGCACTCTTGCCGCTCGGAAGAACAAGAAACTGGAGAAGAGAAATCTACCTCGTGTAAGCGATGTCGCTGCTCTCTTCAACACACTCAACTACGGGCGCTGTGACTGCACACTGTCAGACGGGAAGTGAGCACCTGTCTCGTATAAAGCAGCTGCCGCTGCTCTCTTCCTGGTCAGCTAAGGGCGTTTCCACCACACAGACGGAAAGTGAGCATTATTGCCATACAAACACCATGTTCGCTCGATACCACAAATTTTCAGAATGTTCGTGCCTCACCTGAAACGGACCGCTTCGCCACATTTGTCTGAATGCAAATGCCACATGCTCTTTCCATGCAGACTGTAGTTCTTCTTTACGACGACTGGGGATGTTGTTGCGGCATCAATGGCAATGCTCTGCACACGAATAGCTGTGAACGCTCTCACCAACGGGACCTGAAATGGACCGCTTCACCACATACGTCTGAATGCAAATGCCACATGCTCTTTCCACGCAGACTGTAGTTCTCCTTTACGACGACTGGGGATGTTGTTGCAGCATCAACGTCAATGCTCTGCAAGACAAATAGCTGTGAACGCTCTCGCCAATGGGAATGAGCGGTTTCTCCATGCCAGCAAGAGTAATCTTACATCAGCATCTTGCCCAGCGCAACAGGAAGAAGCCGCAAATTAGCGAATGCTCGCCCACCTCACATGTTTGAACGGGTCGCATGGCCATGAACAGTCCTTATACAGCCGCGGGTTCACAGACACGCTCGCTCTCGCCACATCAATGTCAACGCTCTTGATAGATGGGTTGTGAACGCCCTCACCCCCCCTGTGGAGAGAGGTTTCTCGACTCCAGGAATTACTAATGCTCCCTCAGCAGCTTGCTCAGCACCACAACCGTTCTTGCTGAACCAAAGAATGGCGACCGGCATGCCATTCCCAGTGAGAATCAAAGATATATATATACACGTAAGCCACCGATTGTAAACCTGTCATCAAGAGAGAGATGATTCAGTCACTCATGACGATCAAACGCCCTTCATATATGTCTCTCACGACATCTGCTAAACTTGGAGCGATACAGCAAAAGGATTACAGCAGGCCCTGTGCAAGGATGAGACACACAAATCTGGCAATGGTCTGAAAAACAGCCCTGCATATCAGACAGCTAGACTACATCTCAACATCGAGAGAGAGATTCCCTATCGCCTTCGCCCCAGCAGAATGCCCGGTCATTATGGCTTGAGTTCGGGGCAACCTGCAGTCCAGATACAGCAACAATGGCCGTACATTCTATTCGGGTGAAGATGGTAGGCATTACGCTATACCCAACAGCGCAAAGAACGCCAGACTGCATTCGTGATCAGCATGTCCTTGGTCCATTCCAGATTCACATTTGGTGCCAACATGCACAATAAGTGAATCGTTCTGGCACCGTCAAGGTACATATGGTGTGTAAATGTTCGAAACGTCTTGAGGTCTATCATAGACGACAAAAAGGAGAGAGAGGAGGGATGGCCATCAGGCAGGCGAAGCGCTGCACTAGTGAGATCCGATTCGACAAGATCGATACAGCATGTTAACTACGAAAACACGGTACTTGAAAATAGTCTCAATGGCATCTTATGTACAATGTGGCAGCCCTTCGCGCCTTGTGGGCTCGAGTCCCGCCCAAAATAACATAGCTTGGCACTTCACCCTACCAACTCTTCGCCCAGAAATGTAACTCCAAACAGAAGCAAGGAAGTTCAAGACAGAGGGCGAGAGAGAGAGGGGGGGGGGGGGGGGGGGGGGGGGGGGGGGGGGGGGAGGGAGGTGGGAGGGACGGGAGGGAGGGGAGGGAGGGGAAGAGAGAGAGAGAGAGAGAGGACTCAAACAAAGTCATTTTGGGAACAACACTCGTCATTACATCCCAGATCCTATCTTTCCATATTCTTTCGACTACGGGAGGCTGCCCATTGGGTGCCATCTCACTTCTAACAGCTTTCTGAGATGAACGCAAATGCAACATCATGTACTACCGTCTTCACCCAAATAGAACGCCCGGTCTTTATAGCTGTGTTTGGCACAACTTTCGTTCCAGATGCAGCGATAATGACCGAGCGTTCTATTCGGGTGAAGACGGTAGTGTCCCTCTCCTCGGACACCCCTGATCCTCAAAACCCACTAGTACGCGGCCCCAGCCTTGCAGTCCGAAACTTGTCGCCACAAGAAAACGACTCGGAGGCCGAAACGTCAAACGCTGGGCCCGCCGTTGGTAAATCGGATCGGTGGTCGCGTTTTCGTTTCGCGCTTCCATAATTTGAGGTGTCAGGCCCGTGCCCCAGGTGCCCATGTACTGGTGCTTTAACCCACACGATCAGGTGTGGGACCCGGTTGCGGAACCAGGTGCGGAACCAGGTGTAGAACCAGGTTTAAAGCTTGTTGAATTATTTTTTGACTGATTCTCTCATTTCTCCAACACGAACTATATATCAAGCTAGACAATCTCCTCTCTTTTCCCATTGAACTGGCCAACCTAATTCATCATAAAACTCATAATGATCTGCGATCTAGTCTGTGAATTGCCCATTACTATTCTGCGAATACCCTTTGACTAGGCTGTGAACAGTCTGTGAATAGTCGGTGCTGTGAATAGTCTGTCTGTCTGTCTGTGGCTACTGTCTTTCCCCGAACATAACGCACCCTGAAAATGAACGTATGCAAGGCATGTTTCCGGCCCGATGCAGTCAAAATGAGGGTGCGTTGTGTTCGGGGGAAGACGGTAGTTCGTGCGTAGCCTGTCGTTGACTGGTAGGAAGGACATCTGCGGGGGCAAGGTCCCACTTGCGCGGATTACGAGAATCTGGCCGTTGATCTTTGCTATCTATGGTCAATATATCGCTTAATTCGTGTAAGTGGGACCTAGCCCCGGGACCACCTCTTTGGATCCGGCCATCGCATGACCACCTTACGCTTTTTGGCAAGAGTATGGTACTCAGACTATCAGCACCAACTTAGTCTGAGTTTTTTTTTTTTTTTTTTTGTCTGAGATTTCGCAAGCCCCTTGCTTTCCTTTACTTCTTTTCAAAAATAAGCCCTTTGCTTTCCTTTACTTCTTTTCAAAAATAATAAACAAGATTATACTATTCAATATAGCTAAACAGACATACTTCTTGGGACAGTTCCTTCAACTTGGCAATCTACATAGTAGTAATATGATTCAGAGTTGTGTTTTATTCACTGCGAAGCCTTCCCATAACCAAGTTACGGCTGATTCTATCAGGTCTGCTAGCATTCAGCCAGATGGGCTTGGTCTCTTCCATCTTCTGGCAAGGATAAGTCTTTCTTTTTGTTCTTTCTTACAGGGATCAGTTCATCGTCAGCAGGAAGGTAGATCCAAACACATTTAACCAAAAAAAAAAAAAAAAAAAAAATCCAAACACCC